ATATGGTTGATCATTCAATGAATAAAATATCTCCCATACTGTACGTCATCGGAGTTATTAGTATATTATCTGGTATCTCATCGTTTGGATTAAACTTTAAATAGTATTAAAATCGTATTGGTGGATCTTTTGTAGTTAAACACTTCCGTGATTTCATCAGTGTAATGCAGATTAATCTATGATTTAATTTGAAAAAAATATCTGTTTGTTGGGAAGACACGTTCTAACTTCAAAGGGAGATATCCATTACAGTGTAAGTTTGATTTTTCCTTCGTCATGTCGCGTCAGTTCATATCGTACTTCTGTGCTAATGAATAACCCTCTATCACAGTTTTGAGATTTGTTGTGGAGTTACTGTTAAAGCTGGAATTCCTTGACATGGGAGATGTCAGTTAGTTGTCTCAGCCATATCAATTACATAAAGTTGTCAATATAATCTCTCTACGGAATGTGAGGTGTAGTGGAATATACTTGAAGTGAAGTTGGCTTTTATTCTTAAACTGTTAGGGGCCTCCTCATTTATATGGGGCTTCATTGACAACAAATAATGCAAATGACATAGCAATGGGACATTTCCAAAAAGCAAAAATACTGTAAATTTGCTGTTATGTGGTAAATATTGACGTTTACATGCATTGTTAATCAACGTATCTTATAAAGGATGATAAGATCTAGTTTAAAAGGAATATAACCTTTCTGTCATGACAGTAGCTGCTTAAATATTATTTACTCATTGGGCCATATTTACAGCCAAAATGTTGTGTTATTTTCAATAACATATGGGTAAGTTACATAGATTTTTTTGCTGCTGATCAGTGCACTTTAAGAATATATATTTTGGAGATAAATTAAATGGTTTTTGTTGCAGAGTAGCGCTAGTAAACATGCACAACCCTTTTCGTTAGTCTAATAACATTCAAAGGCTCTCTAAGAATTCAAGTTCTTATTTGTTTAGGTACATATCCATATTATGTTTTCACTAAGCTGAATGAATACATCGAAGTAACCTTTCTGAAAAGTCTGCAGTATATTGCAGTTTTCCAGCTTAATGACTTTATTTATCATGCAAATATTTCTACATAAATATTGTAAAATGTTTTATCCAGTTGCTGTAAACTACTATTGATTTAACAAAATATGGACACGGCTCATATAGGCACCGTGCCCTTCTGCACTTGTAGGCTACTATTTTGTATTGTATTAAACAATTTAATATTTTTCCAATGATTGAAAACATGTATGACAATAATCTCATGAACCTATGATGATCTGTCTAGAACAATATGATAAAAATAAAGACAAAAATGGTGAAAAGGGCAGTCACTAACCCGTAAAATAGATATAAGGTCAATAAGAAATAATTTTAAGAGTTACTGTGATAAAAGGATTTTCCACTGATTTCGTGATGGTATATATTGCAAAACATAACATGATACAGAAAAAAAATAATTTTAAAATCAGAAAATAACATTGCAAATGCTTCTTTTGGACAATTCAGTAACTCCCAATTAATGTGTCTTGTTTAAAATACAATTTACAAATTAACAGCTGTTTCATTAAAAAGTATTATCCACATGGCCAAAATGTAAACAAATCTGTAGAGGGATCTTTAAAGGCTTCTGGGGCAGAGCCCTAAGGGAATTTACTTCGTTTTTCTTTTGATAACCCATCTACAGACCAAGACCTTTCTTTTGACACCCCTACCAAGTTTCTACGCCCAGCCGTTCTCTCAAATTAGTGAAGACAAAGTTTCCAATTAAATTTTTAGATTCCCCCATGTTAATCTTATGGGAGAAAATCCAACTTTGATGGAAGATCCTGCCCAAACTAATAAAGATATCAAAAAACGAAAAACACTTTGCAAAACTACAGATCAGGGCAATTCTTTTGACATTTTAATCATCAAAATCGGTCCAAAAATGAGGGAGGAGTTCTGTTCGCAAAAATCGGCTTAGCGTATTATATATATATAGAATAGATAGAATAGATGTTGATTGAAGTTTTACTCTTAGGAGATATTTGTAAAAACAATATGCGGGTGATATGGGTACGGCTGCCGGGGTTCTAAATAGTTCTTAAACAACTTGGGTGCGCTCTACCTCAGCTCGGATTTCTCAGTGTGCCTATACAATTGCACTTAACAACGCCATGGAGAGCGCTTGCAAGCCTTTTGAATCTGGGGGATTACATCGTTATCCTTAAACTTTTCAGCAAACAAAATGCATATTCTTGTTTGTAAGAACCTATTGCACATTTTTACAGTCTGAACTTATTGAAAATCCAGGCAGGGGTACATGGCATGCACTTTCGAAAGTTACATGAGCGCATTTGGTTACATTTAATAGACGTACAGCAGGCGAAACTCAACGATTGACACTTGAAACGTACAAAAAAAGAATTGCCAAACAATAAATGAAAAGAGAAAAAAAAGAACAGATTTCTTATTATTTTTATTGAAAATCCAGGCAGGGATACATGGCATGCTCTTTCGAAAGTTACATGAGCGCATTTGGTTACATTTAATAGACGCAGAGTTGGCGAAACTCAACGATTGACACTTGAAACGCACAAAAAAAGAATTGTCAAACAATGAATGAAAAAAGTAAAAAAAAAGAACAGATTTCCTATTTTTTTCTTAAGACAGACTTTCCTATGGGTTAAATTAAATGCTTATCAAAAATATTGTAATTTGTTGTAATTATCTGTGAACTTTGGAAATTGATCTTTGTTCATGTGGAAAATATTTTATTGTATTTCGCTTCTGATTTTTATAAGTTTGTTTGTTTGTTTCATTAGATTTTATAAGTTTATTTTTAATAAGCTCGGCGTACAAAAGATTTGAAATATGATAGACGAACTAAACCACCCGTATAGGCAAAATATGATTCAGGTATTCGTTCTGATGTTGTCTGGAGAACGACTAAGTTTTTTCGTAGGCTAAACAAAATAAAAGTGTTTTTATTTTTCTAGTAGTATAATAAGGACTCACCAAAACTTTTTGTCTTATTTTCATTATTTCAAACATTGAAAATAATTTAGTTGCATTATTGTTTTCTCTTGAAATGTCAAGTTTTATGTCACAATAAGATAATATGATAAGCAAAATTGGTGCAAAATCACTAGGACGTAAAATGTTTTACGTATTTGGATGTTATAATTTGAATGTACGGATTTGTCTATAAAACATTAATTAAATAGATCTTGTAAACAATTATGACTCTTGTTATCTGTTATCAATTTGTTTAGTTTGTTTCTAGTATAATCACAAAAAAATATTCCTATTGAATGTGTTCTTTATTAATACTTTTATCAAGAAACTATAATAAATAAATTTAGGATGATATGTTTTCTCTTAATACAAATCTTGTTACAGTGTCCCATTTCAATATGAAGATTTCAATATTATAAAGACGTGAAACTAATGTAGGCCTACATACATATCAATGCAAAATAAAAATGAATAAATTCATTTCTGTGGTTCAGTTTTGGCAGACAGCTAAACTGTATGTTATATGATTATATGTTATATGTTAATATTATACGATCAGCAAAACTGGTACAAGGTCATAAGGACGAAAATATATTTTACTAATTTGGTCACATTACAAAAGTAAAGTCGTGTATAATTTGTATTTACGGATTTCTCTAGAAAAAATAATTTTAGAGATATTGTAAACTATTATGATTTTTGTTATCTATTATCAATTTGTATAATTTTTTTCTAGTATAATCAATAAAAATATTAAAATTGAATGTGTTTTTTTAAATACTTTGTTTAAGGAACTATAATAAATGTAGGAAGATTTTATGTTTTTCTATTTATAAAAGTCTTGTTACATTGTTATTCTGAAGACGGGATCAGATTCCAGATCCCGAAACGTTGTGTATTGTTTTTTTTACATTCGTGATGGAAAATGTCCGCAATAAACCTTTGAACTACATTGTTATATTTCTATATGGGGTTTAAAATATTATAACGTCGTGAGACTAATGTAGGCCTTCATTGTAAAATGTAAATAAAACAGTCTGTGGTACAGTATTAGCAAACACCAAACCTTAAATGTCTGATGTTCATTATTTTAAACAGTCAAATATTTTAATTGCAATTTTTTTTATTAAATGTCAACATTTACGTTAAAACCAAGCTTAAAAATGTATAAGCAAACTGGTATAAAATCATTAGGACAAAAACATATTTTACCTATTTCAATGTTACAATTTGTTGATTTCTCTTGAAAAGATTAATTATAGACACATTTTAAACAATTATAAATTTGGTTATCTATTATCAATTTTCAAAATTTGTTTCTTGTATAATCAATAAAAATGTTGTTGAATTGCGTTTTATTTTAGAACTTTGTTTAATTTACTAATAATAAATGTAGGAAGATGTTATGTTTTCTTTTATATACAAATCTACGAAGTTTAAAATATTATAACGCTGTGAAACAAAATGTATGTTTCCATATAATTTAATTGCGAAATGGAAATGAAGAAAGTTTTTTGGTACAGTATTCGCAAAAAAATCTATATTGTTTTATGTCACCACATAAAGCTAATTTGGAATTTCATGACCTTATGAACCATGTATATTTTTGTTTTGATGCCTGAGATACACAATTATAACTTATTATTATGTTGGACACTTAATCTCTTATATTATATATTACAAAACTATTATTAAATATGATTAAAACAGTCGTAAAACATTTTTCGTCATACTGCTTTAAAAACAACTTGTTTTTGACACATGCGTTGGCATTCATAAATTCTTTTTAGTCTTTGGATAATAACATATGTTTTGATGATTAGTATCGTACTAGTACTTAAAAGATCAATGTTGATGATACTTTTGATTCGAGGTTGTGATAAATCGATTAAAATGAATTCGGTTGTAAATTATGGTAACATTCATTGTTGCATTATTGTTATTATTTTTGCGTTTGTTTCTCTTACACCCCTGGTGAGTGGTACAACTGTAAAATATTCAGAACAGGTACCAGGCGCTCGTTTTATAGCAAAATGCTTTCCGTCTATTGCGCCAACACATAGCGGGAAATTCCATTTAGCTTCAAAATTTCTTTGAATTTTCATCCATTCCTCCACAGTGTTTGGAACCTAAAAGAAGTAACATTCTTAATACTTAATATAAAATATAAATATATCTAAGATATTCTATATACGTAATATCTAAGATATAAAATTTATTTTAAGGATACTCAAACTACTTCAAAGTCAAATGAATGTAACTACTGCAGATGCTGAAACTGAAGAGGATGAGGGTGCTATTGATGATTCCCATGAGGAAAACACAACAAAATCCGATGCCGGTGCCGATTTCCAGAAGCCTAGGACCAAAATACGTCGTGTAAGGATTGACAAATTACAACAAATAACAGCCAATAATCGGGCATCCACAACAAGCAATGTTTCTGCTGACGATGTTGACCTATTCGGGAATTATGTAGCAGCACAATAACAGGAATTGCCATTGAGGAATCGACTAACTTGTGAAGAAAAAATTCAGTCGATGCCAAAGGGAGGTTGGCATTTCTGGCATCACCAGAACCTCCTTTGTCATCACCTTCTCCTATGTTGTCAGGAAAGTCTTCATATGGCAATTTATCCGTTGACGATGATGAATATACAACAGTACAACACACGTATACAACTGATGGGCCATTTCTGTATCGTCAACTGTAGTAAATCTTTGTTTTGATTGTTTTTCTTAAATTTGTCAAATTATAATATGTTAATATAGTTTCTGATACAGTTCTGATGCCATTTTATTTAGGAACTCCTTAACCTGTGTAAATTAATACTACTTTACAAATCCTAATCTATAGTTTCTATGAATAAGTTAGGATTACATTCTTACTTTCAAATAATCTTGTAATGCAGAAATAATGGCTTTTAGAACAGAAGGCATAAAATATGAGATGGTGTTGGCTGGTAAACGAAACATAAGTCCTAGACTTTGGTAACTGTCGCCAGTAGCTAAAAAACGTAATGCGACCTCTAGTTTTGTACGGGCAGGAATTGCGCTCCTCATTACAGTATCACGTTTAGAAATTGTTGGTTCAATTAAACTTAACAGGTGATTAAATTGCATCACACTCATTCTCATAAATTTCTTATATTCAAGAGGATCTTCCTCTGCAAGTTCAAGGAATATTGTACTCGAGGCCCCCATTTCCTCTCTCCGCCCTACCCACTCTCTTACCCAACAAGAGATTTTCTTACTCAACAGATCTTTGGGTTCTTCACTCAAACACGCTGTAAGTTCACTAACAACCTCACAGAAAGAATTTTCGAATTGTACATCAACGTCCTCCATGGTATACGATGTAGTGTGCTCACATCTCAGTGCAGAACTGAGGAAACTACACCGGTAGTGGCCGCAACTACTGGAAGCCACTATTTGCCCCGTCTAAAGGGGTTCATCCTTTCCAGTAGAACTGGCCGATACTACTGGCCTTTTAATTTTAATACAGGTTTTCGTGAAATTTGGCATCAAATATTTTAAATGGCCGCCATTTTGAAACGGTTAATGATTTTTTAGTATAATTTCTAACGATAATAGGTCTTAATAAGATTAACATTTTTGCAAAATATCAAAGCTGTATCTCAAACCGTTTAGGAGTTATTAGTTTTTTTGTAAAAAACACATAAATACCGACAGTCGGTAAACTAGACACCACAGACCCATGTTCGTATGGTGAAATGTGTTTGTCTTGACCTAAGGAATAACGCTATATACAAGTGTCCAGAGAGTTACGGGACACCCTGTATATGATAGCACAACACACAATTTCAGTGATCAACAAAGTAATCCACTAAAGGACTGCACATTGACATTTGAGGAGATTAATACATATCACCATACACATCAATAAGTAAACTATTCAATAAAATGCAAAAACATTTTCTCTGAAGAATAAAGATATCTTGTTTGGACCAAATCACATATCTGCTTCAAAACGATCATAGAAGAGGAGAAGGTAAATGGTGAAGAAGATCTCGGCAACATAAACTCTCAAAACATTGTGTAAATAAAATCCTATAATCAATTCATTATCATCAAGTGTAATAATTATTGTATATTAGAGGAGATCGTCATGAACCAATTAATCGCGAGTGCGTGTACCCTTTCCCCATTTCCCAAGTGAAAATTGTGAGAACATATCTTTAACATTGCTTCTATTGCTATTCCCCTGTGTCAGGTCATGAACTATCTTAACCCTCACTAATTTCCCCATTTATGTTTTGTTCCTGTGTTTATGTAAATTTAGATTAAGAAGTTTCTAATCATCATCATCCAATAATACCAATCATTTAATGTGACCCATAACTAGCTTTAAATATGATTCATACTAAATGATTCATGAAATCCATTTCATATTCGTTCGAAATTTGTCTTTCATTCTATCTCATACAAATTTCTGAGGAGATAAATTGTAATATTTCATGTCATTTCATTCATTATTTAGTATTAAGTTTCTTATAATGTTAACTTTTGTTCATACACCTTTGTTAATAATCACTCCTCAGAAAGGCTGCCCTAATATTCATTTTCCTAATTTTTATAATTTCATTAATATGTTCAATTAATCATTAATAATATTCATTCCATAGCCTATATTTTTTTTTACAAAGCCCACAACCTAATTATTTATTAAATATGTAAGAGAATTGCAATACATCAAGGTTTCTTATAATATCATTTCAAAATTAGTCCTTAAGGAATCAAAATTTAAGAAGCAGTGAAAGTGATCCCATGTGTTCAACAATGAATGGTGTGAACTTTGAGATGAAGAGAGAAGGAAGCCATTGAGAAGTTGAAATTGTTAGAAGAATGAGTCAAAATTTTACCTAAATCAAATTCATTCATCAAGAAGACCAGTTTCAAGTTATATCACAGTAGCCTAAACCTCAAGAGGACTCAACTCCATCATTGTTATCTTCAAAATTAAGTATAACCTTTTCTTTAAACTCTTTTAAATTTTGTGCTAATTGGACTTACCTTTTGGACAACACCAAAATTAGATTTTTTCATTGTTTGGATTGTGTAAGTTTAACACCTTAATTAGGCCTATATTTGGACACTATCAAATTTATTCATTCTTAGCATTCAAGCCAGCACGACACCCTACCCTGAGATATATCACATCTAAATTATTTGAACCTTCAAGTTATTATTGAAATTTATTTTTTATTTCAATTTAGTTTCAACCCCATAAACCATTGTCAATCCTTTCATTGTAACGTCAAGCCTTTTCTCATTGCATGTTAATTGTTCATTTGTTTAAATAAAACACCTTTTGTAATTCATATCTTTGTTAACTTATTAACTTTAAACATTTATAGAATAGGCCTAGCCTAAATGAATATTGTAAGGTGAGTTTACACAGCATTGCTTTGTGCAGGGTCAACTCGTCACTAACCAGGTAGGCTAAGATTAGTATTAATACTGTAATGAACAGTGATTAATTATTGTATTAACTATAGTCTAATGATAATGAATTAATAACCTGCACAGTTTGCAAGAATGTGTTTCAAAACAAAGATTTAGAAGAACACTACTTGGGAGAAGATGAAATTAAATTGAAAAACTCAAAGGCGGTTCTTTTCAACTAAGCTTAAAAACAAAAATAAAAACCCCTATTTTTAGAAAAATAAACTGGAATATTTCATTGTACCTATGTTAGTCATACTGAACCTGTTTGTTATTGTAGCAGACAACAGATGTTGTATGCGGTTATGTTTGTTTATATTACTGTGAACTGAGAAGCCTAACTTCAAACCTAGGTCCTCCACCCAGTCTAGAACTTTTTTAGGGAAGTCTCAAACACATCAGACCTCTGCCTAGAGACCGTGCCTGCACAAAGTAAGACATGCCCTTCTGGCACAACTCTTAATTTATGTGCGATAATGTATTCGAAATAAAATAACTGAATTAGAACTTTTATGTCAGGACAGAAAGTTAAATGTTCTATGTGTAAGCGAACACTGGTTAGTTGAAGACGAGGCTCTTTATTACCAGGATATAGGTGGTCTGACCCTAGTGGCTAAATGCTGTCGCAAAACCTCGTGGAGAGGGGCTGCAGTTTATGTAACTAAATCCTGGAAATGTATCCCTCTAGACCTGGACAACAACAGTTTGTTTGAGACTAATTGTAGGCTATTCTATGGTCTTAAATGTATAGGTATTAGGTAAAGGCCTCGAAGCAGGCAAAATGTTTTGCGGTATCATGAATATGCCTCGACCTAGCACTAACGTTAGTAAGTATACTTCTGCTGTGAGGGATTCTCTTCATACCATAGCGCAGGTCTCAATGAAAAAGGCTACATTAGAGGCTATTGAAAAGAATAATGAAGCCACAGTCCCCTCTGACCTGGAAATAGCTTTTGATGGCACTTGGCAGAAACGAGGCTTCGTTTAAAAAAATGCCGCCTGTACTGTCACTAGCATTGACACAGGCAAGGTGTTGGATGTAGAGGTCCTGAGCAAATATGTAGTGGTTGTGACAGAAATAAATCTGATGAGAATACAATTGCTCATGAAAGTAGTTGTTTGAAAAACTATGAAGGAACTAGCGGCGGTATGGAGACAGCCGCTGCTGTAGCTGTTTGCCAACGATCCGTGCTCGAACGGGGAGTTCGCTACACCAAATTTCTTGGAGATGGTGATAGTAAGGCATTCAATGCAGGGTTAAGGAGTAGCCTAAGCCATATGGGGATGTCCCAATAGAAAAACTGGATTGTATTGGTCACGTCAACAAAAGAATGGGTACCCGTCTGCGAACTTTAAAAAAGAATATTGGCGGAAAACCCTTGCCTGACGGTAAATCCATAAAAGGAGCTGGATGGCTAACTGACACCCTAATAGACAAGTTCCAGCAGTACTATGGCAATCCTATTAGAGAAAATCTGAACGACTTAGAAAAAATGAGGGAAGCTGTTTGGGCTATCTGGTGCCACAGGAAATCCACCGATGCCGAACCGTGTCACATCCTTTGCCCACCCGCCCCGGATACGTGGTGCACATAGAACAAGGCCATTGCCGACAAAAAAGATTACAAACACAACCCAGTACCAGCAGCAGTAATGGAGGCAGTGAAGCCTATTTGTAAAGATTTGGTTGATCGTTCTCTTCTACGACGTTGCCTACACGGCAAAACCCATAACGTAAACAAAAGTTTTAACAACATTATGTGGAGTAGAGTTCCTAAAAATGTTTTTGTGGGACGTAAAACACTTGAACTAGGTGTTTATGATGCTGTCACAGTGATGTAAAACGCCCTGGCGTTTAAATCTCTTAATTATATTGGTAGGGAGTCAACACTTTTCTTTTGTCAACAAGAGGAAATAATTTATACTGAAAATAACTTCATAGGTTTATTTTTATTTAAAATATCTGGCTAATGTAATAGAATTAATTAACATTTGTTTATTACACACAATGAATCAGTCTTAACTTAAATAATTAATTATGGGCATAATGAAAACTTCAGTTCATCAAACAAAATTCCTTAAACTAATGACTCTTCAGATTCAAAAGCATCTTCATCACTTTTTTCCAAGGAGGCATCATCAAGTTCTGATTCAGATTCTGCTGAGAGTTCTGATTCCCCCTCAATCTAAACAACAAACCCTTAAGTTAAGATTAATGAAACAAGGAAATGTAAAGAAGGATTTTAATAAATAGTAATTAGCAATTTTAACACTCTTGAAAAAAAAAACACTCTTGCACTGAAAAAAGTGCAAGGACATTTTAAAATGTTGAAAATAAAAATTTAGGCATAACAAGCCACAGGTACAGACATAACAGAAATTTGGTCAGAGCTTAAGTGATTCTTAGTTGATTTGGTTAATAAATATTGTTATTATTACCTCTAGGCCAGTCATTGGATCATCATGGGTTGTGTGCCTTCTCCTTGGTCTTGAATTTCTTTTTGGATCTCATTAGTCTTTTTCTGGGATTTTGAAATTCTATTCATCAATTTCCAGTTGTATGCAAGGTATGTTAACTTTGCTGCTCTCTGAGATGTTAGTCTGTTTCTTTTCTTGTTGTGAATCCAGCCAAAAGTGCTAAAAGATCTTTCTGTGGCAGCGGATATGACAGGGGCCCCAAGAATATTGACTGCAACTACCGCTAACTCACAGGTTCCTCTTAAACCTCGCCACCACAACAAAGGAGTTACACGACGATCGACCTTTTCAACCACTCCCTCCCATACAAATTTCCTCGACCAAATTCCTTGCTTGTCTCTATAATCTGCCAGGTCCTCTTTAACCTTTACCACATCTACACCTACACCTGTGGTTTTCGCAGTT